TTTAATGGACCTCAAGTTCTTTCTTGGGGTTTTTTGTTTTGTTTTGTATTGTTTTGTAAAAGAGAAATTTTTTTAACCCCCAGTTTCTCAACCGTCTAATTCTGGATCCCCCTTGATAAACATGAAGATCCCCTACCTTTCTTTAATGTTACTTATATTTCAAATTAAATAACTTGATTCAAGCAAACCAGAGAGATAAACGGCTGCTTTGAGATAAACGGCTGCTTTGTTTTCATACTACACCCTCTCCCCATTCTAAGCCACCCTGTGCTCACACCCCAGCCCCACACCAGAATGACTGCTTAGACTTGGTCACTGTTTGGCCAGGGTATTGAATCTGGATATTGAAACATCATTTGCTCATGATTTTTTTGAGGAATAATCAAACAGAAAATGGGAACAGATGAGTCTTGAAAGACAGGAGTCTTTCAAGTGGAAGTCTTTCAGGTCTTTCAAATGGAATAGGAAACGAGGTAATTTTCTTCCAGCAGGGCATTAACTATCTGTGTGCCCTTAGACAAGACTGCAACTCCACAACTCGGTTTCTTGTTCCTCTTCTCCAGAGCAAGCTAAATCAATTGAATCAGTGCCAGACACTTTGTTGCCAGCAGAAGAAATGAAGTTCACCTGTTCCTTATCCCATTTCAGGATGAGAATTTATGAAATTACCCATGACCATTTATGAAATTGCCACTACTTAAGTATCCCAGATGGTAATTTTAGTGGCCTCCTATTTTTTAGTGACAGCCTTCTATTAAATAAAGTAGGCAGTTATGTTAGAAAGATGTATGTTTTTCCATAGGACTCAATATGGCTACTTGTATTTTTAATGCTAAGTATGAGTTCTATAAACATTTTTATTTTCCCTGAATTTGCTGTGGTGCAGAATGTTTCCCTAGCCTCTTCCTAGTTCATTGCTTTACCTAAAATCATTCCTGGTATGAAATTGTTATTCTGTAAATAAGTGTTGGCTAATGTACAAATGAACCTTTGTTTCTTTCTAGTTCTAAATTTTATGATTGTCAACAAATGCAAAATTTCAGGGTTGATATGGAGGTAGGTTCTTTGGAAGCAATTTTCTTCCAGTCTGGACATTTTTTGTGTGTTCTTTCTCTTGAGGTTACTAAGTGCTAATAGAGTAGGAGAATTGCACCAAGTTTCCAACTTTTGTTGTATTCACCATTCAGAAGCTTTGGGTGATGAGTACTCCTTCACAATGTAACAGCCAACTCTGAGAAATCATTTATACTATTTTTAAAAAGTGTTTTGAGGCACAACTGTCTCAGCAGAAACCTGCATTTTTCCTCTGGTTTTAGATGGTTAATGCAAGTAAGTATTATGCATTTAATGTTCTTCCAGTTAGAAAGCTATATGTATATCACATGTAGTTTGAATAATTTCCATTATTTAGTTTAAACTAACTTGCATTACAAGGCAGCGTAGACAATAGATCCCAGCTCTCTGCTTCTGACCGGCTACTCAGCTTATTCAAGTATTTGATCACTGCCAGGCTGAACAATGAAAACCAAGTTGAAATGAGTAAAAGTGGGATAAGGATTCTAGGAATTAGGCAATTTGGGGCTCAATCTCCTGCCATCGAACTCCAGTTCTCCTTCCCTCCCACACAAGTGCTTCTGTCCTCCCCATCCTTTTCTCCTGGCTGTGTAAGACCAGTTCGCCAGCTTCTCCTGTAGTCACATCCACTTGTTGCTCCCAGCCTGAGATTCTGGTCCACCCATTGATGAGTGCAAGCTCACATCTGTTTCTCTTCCTTTTTGGCCTCTAAACAAGCATACTCCTCTGTCGGTGTTTTCTGATCACTTTATCTGCTAGTGAGGAAGGAGAAACAGATTCAGGCCTTAGTGTGCTATGGAGAGGACAGACGGTTCTAGGTGACAGCAGATGGAGGGAGAGAAAGAGACGGGAAGTCTCTGCTAAGGGGTGTCCTTGATGTCATTATATCTGCCTGTGCTTGGGTGGTCACCATGTTCATGTGTCTGCAATTGATGACCAGAAGTCTCCATTCAAAGCCTGGGCTGCTTTGTGAAAAGCATGGCAATGTTTTTAAAGCCACGGTATGGTGTTTAAGCTTAAACATATACCAAACATATTTATGGTATGCACCCATACATGGGTATGTGAGCATGTGTGTATGTTATTAACTTACTTTGCTATTAGGCCTTTTCCCTCTTAATAAAAAAGAAACCTATTTGTCTGAAATATATCATTTATAACAAATTAGAAAGTGTAACCAAATATTAATCAGCCTATAAAAATGAAAGAATAAAAGATTACAGTGTTGAGAAAATACTATATATTTCTTAATGGCTCAGTGGATAAATACCTCCATATATTTTTGTAATTGTTCTACTAATGTCGTCTTTGAGACACAATATATAAAGATTATAAAATTACCTTACTGAGTCAGTATATTGCCTTTATCAAAGGTAAATGTGCCTTTTAAAAACTAAAGACTTATCGGTTGGGCACGGTGGCTCATGCCTGTAATCCCAGCACTTTGGGAGGCCGAGGCATGTGGATCACAAGGTCTTGAGATCAAGACCATCTGGCTAACATGGTGAAACCCTGTCTCTACTAAAAAAAAAAAAAACTAAAGACGTCATTCTGAAAAATAGAAAATTTATACATTTGTTTCATGTCCTTATGCATGGCTGATTACAAAACTAATTTCATGCTAACTCACTCGAACTGATATAGTACAATCTATGCTTTAGGGATTTGGAATGGCTGTAATATAATGTATCTTACAGATACAGTTACCACAGTTTTTATGTATTTTGCACTTTATTGTTCTGAGGATATAGTTGTAAAGAAATATTCTACCTTGTGGCTTTTATGTTTTGTCTTGGCACTCAGATCACAAAAGCTTCTATGGTTCATTTTGAAACTTTGAGGAAAATGATACCCATGTGATTTAAAGTTTAAGTTTAATTACCTTCTGCAAATTGCTTTTGGAAGTATAGGTAGTTAGAAAGTAAAAGTGGTTTTAAATTTCAGAGATAGAGTATAGCATAATAGCTTTTTAAAATATAGAGATTTTCTATCCAGAGCAGGAAAATTAGAATTGCCTTTGGATAATATTTAACAATGTTCTTTTCTTTGTCATGAAAGTGATATAATTCCAACTCACATCCCTATTTCTTATTTATGAATACAATGAATACTGAAAAATTTGTCATAGATTTTATGCACATACTGAAAGGCAGTATCATCTTTTGGGTTTAAAATTGTGAAATATCTTTTGAGGTAATTTGAGCATTTTTTTTTTCAAATAGTAAAGATCTCTATACAAGGAAGGACTTAAATACACACACAGATGTGGATGTCAGCCCCTTAAGATGAGAACATGTTACCTTAAGCAGGAAAGTTGAACAGTGCCTTATTGGTGATGCTAACTTCTTTAGAAATAAGTGCTGCCTAAAGTTTTAAACTTAGTCCTTTTAATAATCTGTTAATATTAAAATACAAGGTGACACTGTTCTAAGCATTGGTGTATAGTAATAGGTTTTAATAAATCCAACTCTATGATTTTAGAAGCTCCAACAACTATAATCTAGCCCTTCATCTCAGACTTACATGTCTATCTGATGTATATTGATGACTGATCTAGTATGAGACTTTGGAGAGAGGAATTTCTGCTGGAATTCCCATTTAACAGATACTTAATTAGTTGGTACTTAGCTGTTTCTTATCATTTGGTACAAATAGTTTTCAGAAATAGTCTAGACATCTTAGCCCAAGTAGTCAGGAAATGGTTTTTAAACTTTAGTGTACATCCCCCATCACATGGAATGCTACCTTGAATGTAAATTCCTGGGCACCAGCCCCAGGGAGCTGGTTCCATGGGCCTAGGAATCTGCATTGTAACCAGGGGTAACCCAGATGATTCTGAGGCGGGTGGTCTGGTGACAAGCCTTTGAGAAGTATTGGTGTAGGCGGTGTACATAGAAACAGGGCCTGTTTCATGGTATATGACCTGTACAGTTGCACAGGTTTCACACTGACTCAGAAGAGCCCTGGGCTTCACTTAGCTCTTCTGTCACCTTGAAATTCTTAATAATTTTTAATCAAGGAATCCTGCCTTCTCACTTTTCTCTGGGCTCTGAAAATTGTTTCTTTCTTTCTATTTTTTGAGACAGAATCTTGTACTGATGTCCAGATTGGAGTGCTGTGGCAAGATCATAGCTCATTGCAGCCTCAATCTCCTGGGCTCAAGCAATCTTCCCATCTTAGTCCCCTGAATAGCTAGGACTACGGGCACGAGCCACCATATCTGGCTAATTAATTTTTTTTTTTTTTTTTTTTGAGATGGATTCTCACTCTGTTGCCCAGGCTAGAGTGCAGCGACACAATCTCGGCTCACTGCAACTTTTACCTCCCGGATTCTAGCGATTCTCCTGCCTCAGCCTCCTGAGTAGGTGGGATTACAGGCACCCACCACCATGCCTGACTAATTTTTGTATCTTTAGTAGAGACAGGGATTCACCATGTTGGCCAGGCTGGTCTCAAACTCCTGACCTCAGGTGATCTGCCCGCCTTGGCGTCCCAAAGTGCTGGGATTACAGGCATGAGCCACTATGCCCCACCAACATTTTTTTTTTTTTTTGTAGAGATGGGATCTCACTGTATTACCCAGGTTGGTCTCAAACTCCTTGCCTCAAGCAATCCTCCTGCCTTAGCCTCCCAAAGTGCTGAGTTTATAGGTGTGAACCTCTGTGCCTGGCCTGAAATTGTTCTTCTTGATAAATATGAATTGCAGTTATCCAATAATGATTTCATACCTGTTGGTATTAGGTTGTCAACTCCAAGGCCAATTCTGAGCTTTGGAGATGAATGAGTGTCATTCATCACAGGACCTAGAATAGGAAATCTTAATAGTATGATTTGTTTTCAAGGAAATTAAATTTCTATTCATAATCTTGAACATGGAAACCTATAATATTTATGTTATTCTAATATGCTGTCTTTTTTTCTCTCAGGATGGTACAAAACAGAAGAGGGAACGGAAAAAGACAGTCTCATTCAGCAGCATGCCAACAGAGAAGAAGATCAGCAGTGCGAGTGATTGTATTAATTCAATGGTTGAGGGTTCAGAACTCAAAAAGGTTCGCTCCAACTCTAGAATTTATCATAGGTACTTTTTACTGGATGCCGACATGCAGAGCCTAAGGTGGGAGCCATCTAAGAAGGATTCCGAGAAAGCCAAGATTGACATTAAATCCATCAAGGAAGTGAGAACAGGAAAAAACACAGACATATTCCGCAGCAATGGCATTTCTGACCAGATATCTGAAGATTGTGCATTTTCTGTCATATATGGAGAGAATTATGAGTCACTGGATTTGGTTGCCAACTCTGCAGATGTTGCAAACATCTGGGTTACAGGACTGCGGTACCTAATTTCTTATGGAAAACATACACTTGATATGTTAGAAAGTAGCCAAGATAACATGAGGACTTCTTGGGTTTCACAGATGTTTAGTGAAATCGATGTAGATAACCTTGGACATATAACTCTGTGTAATGCTGTGCAATGTATCAGAAACCTCAATCCCGGTTTAAAAACAAGCAAAATTGAGCTTAAGTTCAAAGAATTGCATAAATCAAAGGACAAAGCTGGTACCGAGGTCACAAAGGAAGAATTTATTGAGGTTTTTCATGAGCTTTGTACTAGACCTGAAATTTATTTCCTTTTAGTTCAGTTTTCAAGCAATAAAGAATTCCTTGATACCAAGGACCTTATGATGTTTCTTGAGGCAGAACAGGGTGTGGCACATATAAATGAGGAAATAAGCCTTGAAATTATTCACAAATATGAGCCATCCAAAGAGGGTCAGGAAAAGGGCTGGCTGTCCATAGATGGGTTCACTAATTACCTTATGTCACCTGACTGTTATATATTTGATCCAGAACATAAGAAGGTCTGTCAGGATATGAAGCAACCTCTGTCTCATTACTTTATAAATTCATCTCATAATACATACTTAATAGAGGATCAGTTCCGAGGTCCCTCCGACATCACAGGATATATTCGAGCTCTTAAAATGGGTTGCCGGAGTGTTGAATTAGATGTATGGGATGGGCCAGACAATGAACCTGTAATTTACACAGGCCACACCATGACCTCTCAGATAGTTTTCCGCAGTGTCATCGATATTATTAACAAGTATGCATTCTTTGCTTCAGAGTATCCTCTTATCTTGTGTTTAGAAAACCACTGTTCCATTAAACAACAGAAGGTAATGGTTCAGCACATGAAGAAACTTTTAGGAGACAAGCTCTATACAACATCACCCAATGTTGAGGAATCTTATCTACCATCCCCAGATGTCCTGAAAGGGAAAATACTAATTAAAGCAAAGAAACTGTCCTCAAATTGCTCTGGGGTAGAAGGAGATGTTACTGATGAAGATGAAGGAGCAGAAATGTCTCAGAGGATGGGAAAAGAAAACGTAGAGCAACCCAACAATGTGCCTGTGAAGCGATTTCAGCTTTGTAAAGAACTATCTGAACTGGTCAGCATCTGCAAATCAGTTCAGTTCAAAGAATTTCAGGTGTCATTTCAGGTTCAGAAGTATTGGGAAGTCTGTTCGTTTAATGAAGTGCTTGCCAGCAAGTACGCCAATGAAAATCCAGGGGACTTTGTAAATTACAACAAGCGTTTTCTTGCTAGGGTTTTTCCCAGTCCAATGAGAATTGACTCCAGTAACATGAACCCTCAAGATTTTTGGAAATGTGGTTGCCAAATTGTAGCCATGAACTTTCAGACACCAGGACTGATGATGGACCTGAATATTGGCTGGTTTAGGCAGAACGGAAACTGTGGCTATGTCCTCCGGCCAGCCATCATGAGGGAGGAGGTCTCCTTCTTCAGTGCCAATACAAAAGACTCTGTCCCAGGGGTCTCACCTCAACTTCTTCACATTAAAATCATCAGTGGGCAGAACTTTCCCAAGCCCAAAGGATCAGGTGCCAAAGGTGATGTGGTGGATCCTTATGTCTATGTTGAAATCCATGGAATCCCTGCTGATTGTGCAGAACAAAGGACAAAAACAGTGCACCAGAATGGAGACGCTCCCATTTTTGATGAAAGCTTTGAATTTCAAATCAACCTGCCAGAATTGGCCATGGTGCGCTTTGTAGTGCTGGATGATGACTACATCGGGGATGAATTCATCGGCCAGTATACAATTCCCTTTGAATGTTTACAGACGGGCTACCGCCATGTCCCCCTGCAGTCCTTAACTGGAGAGGTCCTTGCACATGCTTCCTTATTTGTCCATGTGGCTATTACTAACCGAAGAGGAGGCGGGAAGCCTCATAAAAGGGGCCTTTCTGTGAGAAAAGGGAAGAAATCCAGGGAATATGCATCTTTGAGAACATTGTGGATTAAAACTGTGGATGAGGTATTCAAGAATGCCCAGCCCCCTATACGGGATGCCACAGATCTGAGAGAAAACATGCAGGTGCGTGCTTGTGTTTAATTATTTACTCAATGGTTTTCCTACTTAGTACATCTCCATAGTTTATAAATATATTGGTTTTTTAAATAATAGTATATTTATGTAGTTTTTAAATTCCAATTAGTTATTAGAATGTTTACCACTAGTCTCTTTTTTATGATTTAAATTCCTAAATGTACAGTTGGTGTTGAAAATATTGATTACATATTAGGATAAGTGAGTCTCGTTGCTGTGTTACACACCTTCGTCCCAGTTTCCATTAATGACTGCTGAACAGTTCCTTGTTTTTTCTAATAGCATACATAGGAATCTCTGGGATTTCTGAATATTCCTTACCTGGAACACAAATTGATGATCTATCAAAATAAAAAGGATATAAGTCAAAGTAAAATGGATGTGATCCAGTCCTTTCTTATGAAGCTGTAATGCTGAGGAGATGGGAAGCCTTTAAATGAACTGTAAATCTATGTGTATGCAAAGTGAGCCTCCTCTTGATTTGAGAGGATAGCTAATTCTGTGAGTAAAAGAGGTGCCTGTATTTATTAGAAGTTTAAGATAGTAATTACCTCTGAAATATATAATGGCTAAAAGCAATCAGTTAGGAATTACATTTTTAATTAAGGATCGCCCACACATCTAGCCATACACTAGGACCCCTGAGTGACACAGAGCTAGACAGCAAGGACCTGCCTCATGGAGACAGCAGCCCTGACCTGTCATAGTGTGTGAGAAGTGGTGTGTGTGTGATAAGTGCTCCATGTCTGTTTATTTTGTATTTCAAAAAATTGTATTTTAAAATGACCAATGAGAATGATGCCAACAAATAAAATCTGACTGAGAAAATTCAACATATTTTCCCTATCTGCTAATTCTGTGTATACTTCATGAATAAAAAGACCTTCCCACAATAAGGAAATTTGTTTCTTTTCTCTTAAAGTAAAAGCATAACAGACATATGAAGGGCTTTTCCCTGTTTCTGAGGGTGAAGGTGGTTTGGTAAACCCTCAGCTCTGAGCAGGTGCATTGTCCACTGCCCAGTGGCTGCTGGGGTGTGTGTGACACAGAATTCCTTTGAGGAATTGTCAGAGCTCAAGCATTGTCTTTTCCAAAGCCTCATCTGCACTGAACCCGACAAAGCAGTCGGTAGTGATACTGAATGAGCAGCTGCCATGCACAAGCAGTCTAGGCCATGAAGATGCAGTGGTGAACAAACAGATTGACTGCCTGCCATCAAGGGCTTGCATGCTAGTTGGGGGCAGGCAGTGGGAAGGGGAAACAGACAAGAGGCAGGCAGATAAACAAATAGAACAACTGCAGATATGAATGTAAGTGGTGTGATAAAAGTGACTGGGGAACCGCACTTTAAATATCACAGTCATGATTGATTTCTGTAACTGAATATATCAAAGTGATTTGAGCCAATGATATATAGTTTGATGTCCATATTTAAAGCAATATTAATACAAATGAAATGTTTAAATTTAAAACTAAAGTGTTGTTCATTCCCAAGAACCTGGGTTATTTGAGAGCAGAAGGCACAGGCCTGCAGGGCCTAGATCCACCCCCTCTGCCCACGTGCCCAGCCCAGACCAGGACCCAAGTGTGCCTGAAATAGCCCACCTGACTCTTATTATGATTATAATTGGCCTGTTATTACTCACGGTGACTCAAAGCCTGGGCCTTAACATCAACAGCCTTCAAGTAAAATCTTGACTCCTTCACTTACTAGCTGTGTGACCCTAGACAAACAGAGAAGGATTATAGCCAAGGCTCAGTCTTCTCATCCATAACATGGCTTGCTGTGTGGATTAAATGGAAGTAATGTGTAATAAATATGCCTAGTATGGCTTAGCACTTGGTAAGTGTTCAAAGAAGGCCAGCTCATGGCATTTTACAGTGTTGAAGGTTTTTCTTTCGTGGATATTTAAATGGCATACCTCTGGTGATTAGAAAAAAGAGAGAGGCATTGAGATCAGCAGTGACTCTAATAGGGGAAGGTCGCAGGTAACCAAGGTCCCTGCTGGGCAGACTCACCAGAGAACAGTAGCATCCTCAAAGGTTCTTTAGATTTTGAGCCAGCAGGCATAAATAGATGAGAGATTCAGGTTTCCACCTTGCAAATATTTCTTTCCCTTTTGTATGGCTAGTATATTTGATACTTATTTTAAACCAGATTGGATTTTTCCCCCCCAAATCTTTACCCTCTTTGAATGCAGAAGCCGTTCTCTCTGTTTGCTCGTAGTTGCTTATCCGCATCAGCACTACTATGAACTTTGGGCTGAAAAGAGGTCTTGCCCTTCGGAAGAATTTGACTTATTTGCATTTTCAGTACTTTTGATAAATTGGTGTTACGAATGCCCATAATAGCATTTACTTTGGATAATAGCCATTTTTCCCAGGATGAAATAATCATTAGCCAATTCTGTTATAACACTGCTAATAACTGTTGTACCAGGTGGTTCAAACGTAAACAGATATATCAAATATAATATCCATGAGAAATTGAAACCCCCTGTTAATTACAAATGCTCCTTTCATTCCATTTAACAGAATGCGGTGGTGTCATTCAAGGAGCTGTGTGGTCTGTCCTCTGTGGCCAATCTCATGCAGTGCATGTTGGCGGTGTCCCCCCGCTTTCTGGGGCCTGATAACACACCCCTAGTGGTCCTAAATCTCAGTGAGCAGTACCCCACAATGGAGCTGCAGGGAATTGTGCCGGAGGTTCTGAAGAAGATCGTAACAACTTATGACATGGTGAGTTGTCCTTTGTCTTTTTACATAGCCTGGGTGAGAGAGATGTCCTAAGACAACACATCAGACATACTTTGGAGCTTTTGCTGAAGTGCACTTTCCTATTTCATGCTTCATTCACCTATGCTGGAGAAATAATTCCCCTGACCTTGCTGTATTTGAAAGAGATTAGCATGTTGTTGTTTTCGAAAGCAGAATTCAGAGACACCTCAGTTGGATTAAACATTAGTTAGCTTCTCAACTATATCTGAATTGATTTTTAAAGGGTGCACTATTTTCCACACAGATGTAGGAAAGAGTTTTTAAAAATCTGCTCCTGCAGCCAGTCATTGATTTATTTGTTTTCATTTTATTTTCATTTTTTCAACTGGTAAAGGCAAGCAATTTAACCTAAAAATGTAATGCCATGAGGGGCCTGTATCACACGACTCTGCACCAGGCAGTGGTTTCCCTTCTTACGGCAGCTGCTCTGTGACACCTGTACTTGTAATCAGCTTAACACTAATAGGGTATCCTCAGGATACCTAGAATATTACATTTTTGTACTTAAGATTTACCTTGAATTTTCTTAATCACATCCTGCTCTTATTGTAATTTTTTATTTACCGTAACTCTAAGAGAGATTTTAGTGGGTGAAGGACACCCATTTAAAGTGTATGATGTAGTTGAAGCTGTCAGTGACTCTTCAGCCTATCAGGGTTAAGGGTGGTGTTGGACACTCCCCTCCCAGATGGGCCAGGCTGTCTTCCAGTACTATTTAGAGTGCCTGGGGGTTAGTACCTCATCTGCTACCTCCTCCACTCCAAAAACACAAGCTAAGACCACTAAGGTTTCTTCTGATGTAGCTTACCGTGCTCAAGGATAAAACAGGATCAGCATCATAAACCTAAACAGAAATATTTTTGACTGTTTTATAAGTTGTCTGAAAGCTGTAATTTAGAGGGATTTATGCAATTCAAGGGAAAGAAAAAAGACGTTAGGCCAGCACTTCTCAAATTGTGACTACTTCATAGGTTTCTTAGGATGTTAGTAAATATCACATACGGGAAGGGTTTCATAGGATATTAGTAAATATCACATGGGGGGAAAATAATTTTTTATTTTTTTCCTTGATTAAATAATTTTGGGAAATACTAGTTTGAACAAAAGTAATCAGTTTCCAGTTTCACAAATTGACTTGACCATTGGAATTCTATTTCTAAAAACAAAGGTTCTGAAGAGTATATTTTGGAAAATGCTTCTGTAGTCTTTGGTTGAGTAAGTCTAGAAGTACAAGTCAGAAGAATGCAATGTTTTAAACAGCTTATGAGTTTATTACTTTTAAAAAAGTGATATTTGCACTTTTCGTAGATTCCTATGAAGTAGTCACACATTGTAGTGGGGGCTGTTTCCTTCTTAGCGTTCATGGTAACCTTAAGAGACACCAGGAACTGAGTACTGGACACTGCAAGCAAATTACATAGAGTGGCACCCTCCTGCAGAGAGGAGGGAGGCCAGGTCAGTTGTCTGATTATGCTGGGGTGCTGAGTGCCACTGTGCTAAGTGCCAGAGGGGGCCACAAAGACTCATACAAACAGCCCCATCCTCGGGGAGCCATCGAGTCCACCAGGAGAGAAAGCAAGGCCGGGGACCAGCATCAACACAGCAAGCTTATGCTGAGATTCCTTTGGTGGGGAAATGGAAAAAGGGGTAAAAATGGAAAAGTTTGAAGAACTTTTACATGCTGTGACCCAGACTGCCTGGATAGTTCTTGACTTCTTAAGTTTTATGAGACAAAGCCAAAAAAAGTAACCAATATTTATAGACGTTTTTTAAGCAAAAACCACTAATAAAATCACAGACCTGTTTCATTGACCAAAATCTAGTATGATTTACCCCCTAAGACATTTCTTTGATTTCTGTGATAGTCATACAGTGGCGTTTCTTCATGGCAAGCTTTTTAACAGGGACTTCCTGAGAGTAGGGTGGTAGTGCCCCGTGTAGGTGATAACAGCATAACAGGGCAGGCCAAGTTCAGGGGCTGATTTCTCTTCCATCAGGAGTGTGATCATAGCTGGATTCTCATGGTCTGTGTTAAAAGTCCTTATGGCCACCAGCAACCTTTACGGCGCTCACAGCAATATTCAGCTCAGGAATGGCTCTTTGCTCCTTGGTTCCCTGCTCCTTCCTCTTGGAATGGTAGTTGCTAGCACTGAATATGTAACTCTTATCTGCATCTAACTGTATCATTATATTGTTTTAGAATTGACAAGACAGAATATGCTAGCTTGCTTAAAGTTTTTAAATTATAAAATTACTCTTTTATAATGTATAATTAAAATAGCTGTGCAGCCTTATACTGCCTTATTTATCGATATGTTCTGTTAATTCCATCTGGCAAAATAAGCTGATAAAATTTAAAATTAAATTCAAATTATAGCTGCAGCAATATTATAACTCTTGTAATATTTTACAGTTCTTTTAGTGACTTAATGGTTTCTTACCTTGTGACAATTTATTAAAGCTAGCCAGAATAGATTAAATATTGATGGGAAATGTACTAAAGGTCTCGGACAGCCCGTAACTCTAAATATAGCTCTTTATTTTTGTAATGTTATGTTGAGCTTGACCCAAAATTAACCTTAGAAATAAGATCTTATTTCATTCTGTTGACTTCCCATGTATAATGTGTGGAGGCGAATGAGAAGTAAAGGCAAGTTGGGAAACTCCTCCAGATCTCCTGTGTTGTGGCCAGTCTGCATGCCTAAAGTGTGTCTTCCTGTGAGGACAGTGCCATGGTACCTCCTGAAATGTACGAATGTGTATTTATGCTATCAAGATTGTGATTACTTTTCAATTTCTAGACTCTATTAATAAAATAGTATTTCAGAAGTGTGCCAGTTTCTTTGTGAAAACGGAGAATGCAGATCATTGTCCTAATGGCTCCCGTGATTACCACCAACAAACAGGCCTTGAACACTGCTGGAATTGGGCTTTTACAGGACTTGTGGTGCTCTTGTGGCTCCCGTGGTGGGGTGAGCCTGGAACTTACCTCAAGAAGGCAGGTATCAGAGCCATTCAGGAGTGGAGAAGAGGAGACATTCACACACATCCTTAGACTAGGCAGATTAAGGTAGTTTTAGTAGGAACAGGACTGGGATGGAAAGCGGAATGACCCCGTTAGCAGTGCTGGAGTCAGAGACATGAGTGTGGGATAGAAGACACCTGCTGAACTTGTGCCTGGAGGCCTGGGGCACACAGATGACCCTTCTTCCTCCCAGTAGTGAGCAAGGGCCCTGGGGTCCTCTTCTGCTAGAACCTAGAGCAAGAAAGCTGCACGTAGCAACCCTAGGTAGGGAAATTGTAGCAGGGCTGGAAGGGGGCCTCATGCAAATGGAGGCTTACTGGGCCTTTAAATGAGGCATCTTTGTCCACTTAAGCTCAGTGTCCTTAAGTACTTAATCCTATGATTTAGGGACTCAACTTGTGAGGGCTCGTCTTCCTCTGGTCAACTTGTTCTCTCTGCCTCTCTTAATGGAAGTGACCCTTGAGTCCCTTTTTTCATACCTATCTACTTTTTTTCAACAGATGGGGGCTGGGCTCCATTATTTAGGCATGTGGTTGGGCTTTTGCCCACAACTCCATATTTATTGCATTAAACAGTATATTTTATTATATCATACATCATGACCATAAAGTCAGAGGGTCGAACTTTTGTACCAAATGATTGATTTGCTTTAAAGATGTCATGTTTGGTTGTTGTGAAGTAGCATATAATAGAAATTTAATTGGTTTATTTCAATAAAACAGATACAGAATAAGTTACTGCATTTTTGGTGATGAATTCAACGCCCATTTATAAGCTCTTACCATGTGCACTGCTCACTCATCAACAAGTATTTATTGAGTGCCTACTGTGTACCAGTGACTATTCTAGGCAACATGAGGCAATATAAAGATGAAAAAGACTTTTTTTTTCCCTTGAGGAGCTTATAATTTAGTTGAAGAGATGCTACAGTATGTTTATAGATAACTGGTAAGATGATAGACAATAGATAGTAAATAGATATTTTAAAATATATAAATGAATTATTTGAATCTTGAAAGGAGAAAATGGTTAGTTTCAGGTTCAGGGATTAGGAAGATTTCAGTGAAACATTGGCCTTGAACTAGACCTGTAAGAATGAGTTGGAATTCAACTGGTAAAGAGGAGGCTATTGCAAGATGAGTTCACAGGGTGAAACATGCTCATAGGTGAAATATGCTCAAGCACATATTCTGGGAAATCCAGGTTTGGACTGTAACAAATAGTAGATTTTTTAGCAAAGGACTATGCTCAGAATTAGGTATTATGGAATTTGGGAGACTTGGAGTGAAACAGAACTCAGAGACCACCTGTTGAGCACCTTTATTTTGCACATGAGAAAATGGAAACCCTGTAGCACATCAAATTAACGACAGAACTGGAGTTGGTACCCAAGTGGTATCTCTCTCCAATTTTTTTCTGCAATCCAGATCAGAAAAATTAACTGTGTAGAATGTGCAGATGAATGATCAATACAGCAATAAAGCCCAAGTAACTTTAATAATAATAATCTGCAGTTATTCATGTGGGACTCTTGAAGTTACAGGCACCTTATTTTTTGTTCTTGTGGCTGATAAATGTAGAAAATTCTTCATTTTGCATTACTTAACATATATTAAAAGGCAGATTTAATGCACTTAAAGAAAACCATAATCAATAGATCAAATTCCACTCAAATAAATTTGATCATAAATGTCTGAACACATTGTTTATAATTTCAGAAAACAAAAATGTAAATATTTTACTTAAAATGTCTATAAATGAACTTGAATGCACCCACTATTGACAATCAAGATCAAGATTGAGCTTGTTCGCTCATGTAATTAGGGTCTGGTAAGAGAAAATAAGGAATATGTAACCTGAGTTTAAGAGAGTCCAGTGACTATCTGGATACTCTTCATAGAACACAGTGTTCTTAAGAATGGATCTGCACTGGCAT